TGAAGAATTGAGGTCAGGAAAAATCATTTACTGGCGGGGATCAAAATGTTCCCGAAATGGAAGTTGTGCCAACTAATATGCAAACAGCAATAATCCGGTTTGTAAACCGGTTTATAAACCGGTGTTTATAAACCAGTTTTTAAATCGCCCGGCCAAAGGGCCGGTTTTTAAACCGTGGGAGAGTGCTCCGAGGGTCAAATTTGACAGGTTTTCCTGGACTTTCTCCCATCTTTCTTCCACTTATTTTACTGATTTCGCCTAGTGACCACATCGGGATGTGTCCCGTTGATTTCCGGGGCAACTGCACAACTCAAATGTGCATTCAAGTGTTGCAAACTATAGGTGGAGGAGAGTTTGCATCTTTGGAACCCATGTTGCAATGTCTGCTTTGGTGTCCTGCATCCAGTGTTCGTCCAAGATACTCGCGGAGCACGAAAAAGTGACCTCCTGGACATCACAGACTTTTTCCGGTCCGGGTTTATAAACCGGTTTATAAACGCCCGGTTTTGAATACCGGTTTGTAAACCGGTTTTTAACTCCCCTGGAATTATATACAAGGCCCTATTTCAGGTACGGGCACAGCTTCAAGCCTCTCGCACTTATTAGATTCACATTGATAAATATATGCTTGCCTGTCTTTCAATGGAACGAGGCAGTATAGCGACAGAAATGTGCATCCGTTTGCCGGTACGCAGGACAAGACGGCAGTATCCAGGGTCCGACTACCGCATCGGGCAATCACCGGTGATCAAACGAGCGTGGTGCTCCCGCTTTCCATAGAGAAGCAACGCGAAAGGGAAGTTGAAAGCAACGCAGCGAAAGACTAGGTCAATAGGGAGAGCCTGCTGTCTAGATTTAATACATGGAGTAAGCGGTCGTATCCGAAACATTAGCAGTCTACGAAGGCAAGATCAGAGGTTAGCAAAGACGTGCCTTTGCTATCTACGTCCTGGCATTTTCTGAATCAAATCCTGCGCAAGGGGCGTATGTAAACGTAAGTGAAAAGCAAGGAACAGAGAATGACGAATCATGGTAACACATTGTAAGGAGCAGTAAATAGCCCGTGTCTGCAAGCGCAACATAACCCATCCCCAAGGGGGGCTCAACTTTAAAAAATCGGATATACAGTCGAAAAGTTTTTTTAACCAAGTTCCCAGACCCCCGAACCCCCTATATGAGGCAATATGTTCCCACGGCTCCGACGGCGATCAATTGTTTGGGCTTGTTATTTTGGGCGAGAATTTCTGCTGTTCTACTTGAATCCAACTAAAAATGTTCCAATTGGGACAAAAGGCATCCACAGTACTTCAGCTGCAATGGAGCTTGACCGGGAATTTTCCCGCCGAATCTAAACGTCCATGTCCGTTCTGTCCCAATTAGGTAGTTGCGATCAAAATTCGGGTTGAATATCTTAAAAAGTGTTTATGACTGTCCTATGCTGTTTTTAGGGTTTTCAGCGAGATTGAAAACTCATTTGAAATGTAGGTCAAAAAGTTTTTTTAACTCTTCCTGGGGGGGACCCCCCTCCGACCCGGTGTCGGCAATTCGGCTGTTGAACCCCCCTTGCCCATCCCGAAGCAAGTAACGTCGAATTGCTGCACACTCGTTTGGGTAAGCAATGCGGAAAAAACCCGCAAGCTGATCACAACGCACCGTAATACCAGAGTTCAGATGATCCCAAATATGCGTCACGGTATGTATGTGTACGTTAGCGTTGTTGGACTAGACCCGGGGCGTAGAGGTGCCATGCAGAAAAAGTGGTAGTACAGGATCGTGTTGTGGCGCAGAATTAGAGACAGCGTTGAGGATTTGAGGATAATCGGGTTAGAGTGAAGGCAAGTGAAGTTGAAGCGCGCGCGGTGGAGGATTACAAGAACTTTGAGGATATCTGGGTCAAGAGTAAAGGCACGTTGCAGCGCCGATGGTGGAGGGCGCAAGATGTTGACGCGCTGGAAGACGGAGGCCTACAAGTGGCCAATTTGCGATGGAGAGCTTGCGGGCGATCAGGCTGCGCCGTGGCAGCATGGGCAGTTGGGGGCGATTGAAAGAAGCAGGAGAATCGCAGCTGTCGGAGTCGTCTTCAACGGGTGATACCATGCGAGATGTGGAACGTGTAGGCTTTAACAGGGACAGTGCCACAGGCCAAACAAGGTGTTCATGTCTTTCTTGTGGCGGAAGATCAAGCCAGATGTCGAAGAAAGTGGCGAGGTTTGGCTCATCACCGAGGACCCAGACGTTTGAAGAGTATTTGTGGGGAGCAGAAGCAGCGCAACCGGAAAGGGAGAGTGGAGAGAACAAAGGGAGCAGACCCCGGGGTTCGCATATCGAGGGGCAGACCAGCAGCGGACCCAGCAGTGGCATCTTGGTGGCATCCGCTGGACCACTCGGCGCTAGAGGTGGATGCGGAAGATAGGGGCGAGTCCGCGCCGACTGAGACGCGGAGTTGCGGACAAACAACAGCACAGTATGACGGTCAAAATGCACTTTTATTATTCCGACACTTTCTTTCGTATTTTTGAACTTTCCGACACTTTTATTGTCCAATCCTCTACTTTCCGACACTTTTATCAACTTTGAAACCTCCAATAAAAGTGTCGTGAAAATGGCCAGTTTTCAACACACTTTTATTGACCCAACGCTACCCAACGACACTTTTATTGACCGCAGTGGAATCCCGACACTTTTATTGGCCTCAATTTTTTACACCCGGATATAGCTCCCAGGCACTGTGTAGATTGGCACCTATGGAAGAATGCTCCTCAAGACCTCTGGGGAAGCAGATACAGCCTTGTAAAGAGCAATCACTGTCTAGCCGGACCCGCATGCGTCGGCACATGGGACGATCAATCACCGGATCACACGAGTGCCGGCTTCTCGCGATCGGGTAACAGCATGCAACTAACGGATATTCACCCACCACAGTTGGCTCCAGCGCATTGGACCTGATACTATTTGGGATACACAGCTATCTGGCCTCTCCCTCAGGTGAACTAGCTCAGCAGGAACCCAACGATCGGGCAACATCAAGGTTTGCATCAGGATCTGATCCTATTCTTGATCGCTGCAAGACAACACGTTTGCTCTCCACAAGGACGTGTCGACATGGTGTTGAACATCCCTTGGGTTTTCGCAACGGAGTGCATCCCCTAGACCTATTCCCTGCCATATCAATTCTTGAGTTGAAATAAAAGTGTCGCCAAGTGTCGGAAGTTTAGTGAGAACTCGATTTTCACGACACTTTTATTGGACCTTTCAGAATCTCACATAAGTGTCGGAAATCACAAGATTTGACAATAAAAGTGTCGGAACGTCGAAGAAAGTGTCGGAATAATAAATGTGCATTTTGACCGTCATAGCACAGCGGAAGAATCAGCGCGCACCCGGGAATGTCCATAGACGCTGAGCGTGAAAGAAAAAACGTTATCGAAGTCGAGAGCAACGGAGAAGATTGGTGCCATGTTAGGCATCAGGGACGACGACACTGCTGCACCGCCACATCGTTCTTTGCTTCTTAACTTTTGCCTACTTTTGCCTCGAGCCCAACTCGAGCCTTGGTGCATCCGTCGTATTCGCTACTATGTCGTTTCAAAACCCCAACATAACCCCGGCCCTACGTGCCGAGGCACCATACAATCGATATCTACCGGCTCGTCTCTACCGTCGGGCGGCGCGTCCAACTAGCGTCGTCGTCCTCCTCTTGGCATTTCCCGGCGTAGATTCTGTGGCACCTGCGGACATGCGGGTACATTTCGTGGGTGTAATTAAACAATCTCTCAACTAGCCTGGCTGTGTGGGCAACGCGCTGAACGCCTGTGTGGTGTGAAATCTCAGATCTGTACGTTCCTCGCCTTCAATTTTGCTGCTGTCAGTTGACTGATTTGTGCGCCGCAGCGATTCGCATGACGATGGGCGCGCTCAACACTCTGCTGTGTCAACGGCCCTCCTTGCGCACCATCTTCTTCTTCGCCACCGCAACGCCCATCGCGCCCTCCTTGTGCCATGGATCCGCGGTTGGGAGCAGCAGGATGGCGAATGGACTGGCCTGCAGACCCGCGTGCGCGCTAATCTTCGTGGCTTTCTTCGTCTTTGCTGTGGCGGCTGGAATTCCAAGTACACCAAGTCTCGCCAATTTTCAAGCCGACGCGATCTCACTCCCGGCGTAGTTGCCCAGCACGGGCAGGGAGTCGTTCACCTTGGGCCAGCTTAAGCGCGCGCCGTCTACCTCGTTCTTCACTCCGCGCCTTCGTCTGTGTCGTCTGCGCCTTCTCCTACTAACACGTACGCAAGTGCGAGCCTTCCTCGACCTACGAAGACGAAAGCGCCGCGGACGCAAGCTTCACGGTGCAGCATGATGAGATCGAGATGCAGGCGGTCTACTCCGCGGCTGGGTATTGATCTGCGCACGGATACGCACCTGTGACTTCCAGCCCGAGCCCGATACACTTCTTTCAGCGTCCTCGACACCGTATACCACTTCAGCACTGTATCTCTAACTGGCTCCGAATTCCCGTCGTCGACGCTCCTCCTCATCGGCAGCCCACCAGCACCACGACCTGAAGCTGTCGCCCGCTTGCTGCCTCCCTTGCCCGGGAGCCCGATGTTATACATCCTACGTCGCCGCCCTCCGTCGCTCACCCTGCGTTGAGGAGCACCAAGACGAAGACGCGCAGGATGAGCATGAACGGGAGGGAGGGAGGGAGGGGGGTGGTCACCGTCGACCGATGCAGGGCAGGTGCGGATGGAGGAGATGCGGTTGGGCGGACGATTGAATCATTGTGGAAACGCTGAATATTCGCGCCCACGACATTTTGCCCCATGCCTGCGCGGCGCCGCATGCATACCGATACCTACACTCATTCCCCGCTCGCCGATTCCTCTTCCGTCGCTGTATTATCCTCTTTCCTTACTGTCTCTTTGCATTTTTTTCCCTTGAATGAATAACGGGTCGGATGGAGACAAGCGGGAAGGGGAAGAGGGGAGGGAGAAGTAGGTAGAGGTAAGCCTCTGTCGACTAGAGTACGCAAGTCGCTCCATCCTCGTTCTTGAAGAGCGTCCATAAGATTATCATGGAGAGACGGGGGTTCGAGTCCTTCCAGAGGCATGGGTGCCTTGCGCGCATTTTTTTTGTCACTTTTTCTTGCTTGTGCTGAGCGTAAATTTGAGTTGAGTCCCGCCCTCACGGTAACGTCAAACCGTTTTTTGCAATCGGCCAATACATCTGTTGCCGATAGATTCTTCAACTGGTACTTACCCGACTCCGAGTCCGACTGATAGAACCCAGATATAAATCCACCCTTGCTGTAACTCAAGACTAGGTCACCATAAATCGCTCCATCCTCGTGTCCAGAGCTTGCGGGATCCAAGTTGCAACCGTGGGGAGACGGGGGTTCGACGCCCTCATATCCACTTCGCTGAGCAGTTTTTTTTCTCTTGCTCTTACCTAGGGGTGCGATTAGTTGATGAAAGTAAATCCGGTCGAACTGTCTTGAGCAACGTAGACTCGGTCGAACTTATCAGCCGGAGCAACGCAAGGTCCGATTGCTATAGCGAGCATTTCTCCTTTTCTTTTCGGATCGTTGAGTTGTATTTCAAAAAAATCCAACCCACTTCCAAACCCGACGCGGCTGCTACGCTCCTCGAACACTCCATTGCAAACCGGCACAAAGCATAGGTAAGTACGCCTCTGTCGACTGTGGAAGTCACTTCCTCATGGTGTCTCGGTGCAGTGTTACGACGAGTCAGGAAGAGACGGGGTTCGATTCCCACCGGAGGCGTATAGCGGAACAACGGCTGTTTTGCTTGCCTGCAGTGAAGTAATACATCTTTTTGGCCAAAGCATGGTGTACTTAGGAGCTTATGAATGTTTCCGCACTTATGTATGTGTAAGGGCCGTATCTGCGACAATTCTGCAAGACAATACAAACCGGATGAATGTAGAATACTGCGTGTGCGCCAACACAGTAATGAGATAATTCGCACACATCGAAACGAACCATTGATGAGAACATACGCGACCACAGTCTAAGCAAGAGTGCTCGACGCGACATCGTGTGTCAAATCTTGTAAAAAATAGATCGCCCCCGGAGAATTTTCCACAGGACGGTGGGCGCGAAAAAAATCCGGTCGGCCGCGAGCATGTTGCGACTGCGCCACACCGCAGACGCGACTTCGTTATCCTACGCCGCATACATTTGAGAAGACCGGGTCTCAGATTTCGAGCTACTCACCTGAGTGGCTGCCGTGAGCAATTTACCTTCAATCCACCTCACGAAACGGCCAGTTTCCCGGGTCTCTCCATCCATCGGTCGGCATCTCGATGAGCCGTAGTCTGTTTTAGATAGATGAGTCCAAGGGCGTTCGAAATGAAAATAGATGTCTTACCATGCAGTCTCGTGGTGTCCCTAGATCCGGGGTGCCATTGTCAATGCAGTACGAATGCCGTAGCGGGGTCCCGTGCTCACCAGAGGGACTTTAGGGCCGGAGCGGAGCGTTTAAAATAAATCACTGAGAAGTCATTTGGAAGACGGGAGAAACCTGGTTTCACGGAGTGCAGGAGGGCGTTCAAGGTGATTCCGTTGAATATGGCCTTGGTAACTCCTTGCCTAGGGAAGGAAGAAACATGTATGAGGATACAACTAAGTTGGACCGACATGATGGAGGACGCGCACCCGTGAATGGGGTTCAGTTGCGAGGAGGCATCGCCCACGGTAATGAAGTTCGAGGGCAAGGCACCCGCAGGCAAACTGTGATACCTGACAAATGATTGGGTAGCTGAACAATGTTGTGAGTATAACATATCGGGCTCGAAAGATTGACGCACGAAGTTTTATAACATGAGCAGAAGGATTGCCGTGCTCGCAGAGAAGCTCTATCGTTTCGAGCACCCAGGAGGGATTTGGACGGTTCAAGTCTGGGAATCCAGCGATGAAAGGAACAACTTCCGAAGCGGCTCGAGGCATGTCTCCGGAAGATGTATCGCCCACGGCAAGCTGCACTGTGTATGACTCATGTTCAGTTGAGAATCCAGGACTAGACACCATGGGCCCACGCACTTGTATTATTGTCTGTGATAATGAGCATCACGAGCGTCGTAACCGCTTCGTCATGTGGTGCGTAAATATAGGGGGCTCCAGTTTCCCTGTGGCTCGCTGGGATGGGGAGTTTCGCGCCAAGGTCTGGCGGGATATCGAATGTCAGGCATAAGTATTGCATATTTCCTTGATACTCCGAACGGATCGTCGCCGGCACATTGAATCCCGCCGCCGGTAGCCATTTTAAGCCGCTCTGAGCCGCCCCGCCAGTACGGTCTGCGTGAAAGATGGTCAAGTACTGGAACACCAGACCGATACCTATTACGCACCTACAACCAAAGCTGCATCGTCTAGAGTCATGAATGTACCGTCAATCTGACGAACAGTGACCTCGGCGATGGAAGCCCCATCCTCAGACGCTTGGATACTTCTCACAGTCCCGCGGATCACAGTCGTCTTCGTTGAGATTGGATGCTTCAGAAAGAGCCGCTCCAGTAATCTCTGGCTACTTGACCTACGCATGACCAAAGTCTCTGGAAGCTTGCCACCAGGATATTCGTCGTACGGAGCCGGTCTGGCTACTCCCGAATAATGAACCTGTAGATCTGCCGGACGGAGTCTGCAGATATGTTTGTTCATGCGCAAAAAAATTGAATGAAACTGCCTCACCGAGCACCGGCAGCTATGACCTCAGCGTCGAAATCGGGGCAGAGTCGCCGTGCAGCCATAACGAAGGGGCGAGCAAGGCTGGAAACTCGACATGAGACTGATTGTATTACTTAGTGGGGTAGAACTGCTTACTGTGCACCGCGTGGTATTGCATGATGCGGGTTTTGGGTTTGTCCGAATCCTGGATCTCCGGGTCGATTATTATGACTCGCTCGAAATGATCAGCGCATATTCGGGCGGTGACAATTCCAGAAATGCTTCAACGCCGTCAGTTGCTATACGAACCGAGGGCCTACGATGGCTTACCTTCCTCCGCATACTATCGCGGTGCCTGAGAGCATCTGCTTCCTCGGTTTTCCGAGAGATTCCAATTGTTTCACCCATCGCGGGCGCGACTTGCAGAACCTCTGCCAGGCGACGCATACCACAGTGAGGGCAACGACAAAGGCTAGTGAGAGGGGACGATAAGTGGGTGTCGACATGCTACAAGGGCGGGGACAAGCTCAATTCGTCCCTGATGCACCTATATATTGCCGTGGATGGGAGAATCCCCGGTGTGCACGTTACGGGCACATCGGAGCGGGGACCGACCGACCCTGGCCACCGGTGTAGCCTAGTCTCTTATAAACAGACACTACAACAAAATGAGCTCGTACCTCGCTTGTTGTAGGTGTAGCCTCGGAACGTGCAATCAGTGACCCTGAAGCGGTGTTGCGCTGGAGAGCATTCACCGTCCTTCGACATGATCCCAAACGCCGACAAGGGTTCGATGGCCGTTACACGGACGGGAACATGGGAAGCCAGTCGTCCTGGGGTGGGCACTATAGACTGTTGGTGTGTGTACTCTGTAACTCGAATCCGTCCCGCTGACTGTTATGGCGAAAGCAGACCCGGTACTCAAGTACGCCGCATCGTACGCAGCACCCGCTGCAACCTCGTGCATCATAGCGCAACAGTCAAGGGGCGTGGTTTCTGAATGCACCAGCGGATGGGCAGCAGCGAGGATAACGCTGGGACAAGGCTGGCCCTCCTTCGCACGCGATGGGAGAGGCCGATACCACAAGAGCACCGGCGACTAACACTAAGTACCAGCAGCAGCGATCGACGGTCGTGTGTCGAGGAGGGCGTGAAAGCCCGTTGATCTTAAGCCCGGGGCGCGGCGCGCCACCCAGTATCAGCGCCAGCCATCCCTCTCCGACACTGAAAGGGGCGAGGGCGGGGCACGCGGGCCTGGGTCTAACTACGGGGATATGTCCGTGCCTACGATCCTGACCGCCCACTGTGCCACTATCTCACCCCACGCACGCAGGGTACGAATCGCAAAGTGGACTGTGGAGATCAATGAGTAAGAGAGATACGAGGGAAGACAGAGGACAGACCTGACACTAGCCTCTACATTTGGGGGGACTCGCATTGTCGGCGCTTCAGACACGAGAGTGATGCCCAAGCGCACGGCGTGGGGGATCGCACGCACAAGAGTGGAACTTGAAGTCTATACCGATCGAAGGCACGGGACGCTGGTGCTGAAGGGAAGGATCAGCATCTAAACGAAGAACGCAGATCGAAGACACACCTCTCCCCATCCCCACCGAAATCGCACTCAATCCGAAGCGGTTGCGCACACCGTATAGCGCCGCAGGCGACATGGTGCGGGTACGCGGGAGCGACACCTGCGGCGCAAAAGGGATGATAAGCCTCGGTAAGTGGGCGAGGAAAGAGAAAGTACCTTTATCTCGACCATCATCCCTCCAGCGAGCTTTGAGGACCAAGTGCCATTGCTCGGGCGTTCTGGCGTACGTCTCCCTGCACCACTATGGCGTCGCTTCCTGCGTAGCCACGGTAGTGGATAGGGATCGCGCGCGATAGTGGCTGCCGTTGCGCACGTGTGCCGCCTACGGGCTAAGGCGACTGGGGAGAAGATGGCAGCGCAGGATCGCGGACATCCGGATCGAGCTACATCGCTGTCGTCCTTGGTTCTGTGGGCCCAACGCCTAGTGTGATGCCCCTTCAAGTCGGTGGTTCCATCGAGACTCCTTTGAGGCTTGGTCGTACAAGCCCGTCGATAGGTATGGTCGCCGCGGGCATCGCGGGAGCGAGAGGAAGTGCACGACGAGTATGGCGCTGTATATGTCAAAAAGTAGCCAGACGATCTGCTCGATAGGGAGCCCAGAGGCGTCATCGGCCCGAGTCGACACCCCCGTTGCGGGCAACACCCGGGGAAAAAGCCCGGGTGACGGTGGGGTACACCAATAAAAACGCATCCCGATGGATCCGCAAGAAGCAGGATAGGCGACGGGGAAGATTCTGGAAGATTGCACGAAGGTACAAATACGATGTGGCTGTGCAGTCGTCTTGCGAGGGCGGATGGGGTACAAGAAGGAGGTATGCAAGAATGTCATAA